TGAAGGGAAAAGAAACTGTTGAACAATTTTGCAGTCTCCATTGCCAAAGGTTCACATGCTATTTATGTGTTTAATTCATTGGCAAAGGCAAAGAAGACTCTATTTTTCTCTTTCCATTTTGATAAAGTTTTATAAGGAGAAGAAGAAGATGAAGATTTTTGACCAGAAAGATCTGAGTTTTATTCCAAACTCCATCACCTCCTAGTTTAGAATCATGCACGTGACCTTTCCTAAGCTATTTCCTCATTATTGTGAATTGTCATTGTAGACATTAAATATGAGAATGGAGAGAGAGAGAATTTTTTAATATTTATTTTTTGGCAGACAAAAACATCTTTGTTTGTATGTGGTGCTGAGGATCGAACCCAGGCTGCACGCATGCCAGGCGAGCGCGCTACTGCTTGAGCCACAAATATGAGAATGGGGCCGGACACATTGGTGCATGCCTGTGATCCTAGTGACTTGGGAGGCTGAGGCAGGAGAATCAGAAGTTCAAAGTCAGTCTCAGCAACTGCAAGGCACTAAGCAACTCAGTGAGATCCTGTCTCTAAATAAAATACAAAATATAGCTGGGGATGTAGCTCAGTGGTTGAGTCCTGGAGTTCAATCCCTAATACCAAAAAAAAAAAAAAGAAAGAAAGAAAAGAAAAAGAAAAAGAAAAAATGGGAATAGGTGTAAAATGACAATCACACCTTAGTTATTGTGAATTGTTTAAATTATAGCAGAGCAAAGCATAACACTGGGCCACCAGACTGCATGGGTTCAAATCCCAGCCTTGCCACCATGAACTTATCCTCATCTACATAATGAGACACTAAGGTACCTGCTGCCTGTACCTTGGACAGATTGCTGTCTCAGAAGTTATCAGAAAAATGTTAGATACTTCTCACTCTTTCCCAAGAGGAAATTATTTAAAGATGCAGAATTTAAATTAACTCTAAATAATAAGGAAGGTAAAAGAAATAGACTTAGAAATAGGGTAGCAGTAGAGAAAGAAGACTGAGACAGAACCGTGGCTCCTTGTCTGTGCTAGTATGAAACTCGGGTCAGTGTTTGAATCCTAACTACTGCACAACAACTTATATTTGATAACTAATTTCAGATTATACTTGAACCTGCAAAAGCAGTGTGATTCTGCTCTGTACAGTGGAAGGGACAGTTCATGAGCTAGGATGCTTTATTTTAAACCAAATCTTCTTCTCTTGAAAAACTGAATTCTAACACTCACTATGCCATTGCCTGACTCTGTGACACTTCACTTAATCTTTTGGACCCTTGGAACCTAAAATTCTATGGCTTATGAACAATATCACCATAAATCACCAACTTGGCATTTTTATTTTTATTTATTTTTCTTAAAATATTTTTTGACACAACACCTTTATTTTATTTATTTATCTTTATGTGGTGCTGAGGATCGAACTCAGTGCCTCACACGTGCTAGGCAAGTGCTCTATCACTGAGCCAGAACCCCGGCCCAGGCATTTTTATTTTTACAATGACTTTCAAATGCTAGTATTTTAGCCTAAAATATGAGTTTTCCTTGTTTAAATTATACATACCATGCTCATAAATGATAATGACATATTTTCCTGGAGAGAGAATTAAATAAGCAGAAGGTCTAAGATATGGAGTTAGATTATTTACTGAAAGATACATAAATAAAATTAATATCACTACTGGTAAGCAGATTTCCAGAGTTTTGTCAAATTCTTTATCTCTTTTTATTTTTATTTTTATTGGTACTGGAGATTGAACCGCAGAGCACTTAACCACTCAGTTACATCCCTAGCCCTTTTTATATTTTATTTAGAGACAGGGTCTCACTAAGTTGCTTAGGGCTTCACAAGTATTTGCTGAGTCTGGCTTTGAACTCCCAATCCTCCTGCCTCAAATTTCTGAGCTGCTGGGATTAGAGGTATGTGCTATGGTGCCTGGCCAAAATCTCATTTTTAAAATGCATAATAACCCAATTTTCATGTTTAAATTAGGTTAGTAAACCAAACAAAATAAAGTGTAAAGCCTCTCAAGAATGCACATTTGTTAAATTCTAATAATTTGCATCATTAAAGGGTTATTTTATCCGAGTTCCATTGTTGTAACATTTCATAAGAAAAAAATAATTCTTCAATAAAGAGAAAGAAATAGTTTCTGGTTAAGAATAATATGTGGGAGCTCAAATAACCATAGAAAAGGAGATGCCGACTGGGAAATGTTTGTGGACTCCAGACAAAGTGTTATTTAAAACGCTTTGTCTTCCTGTCTTCAAGGAATAAAGTAATAATAGATGATTAATTAAAATTACTGAAAATGTTTTCACAGTTCAATGAAACTAATGTATTTAATTTCTTTCCACAGTCTTTATGAATGCAGCAATTCCCATAGCAGCTGTTCTTGCTGTAAGACACTTTTTTTTTGCTTGTAGAAATGGAACCAAGTCAGTGTTTATAAATGATGTAGGAACAAGAATGTGTGGGTGGTAACATATATTTCTTCACTTCTGCCATTTCCTTCTTTGAAATTTCCATTGCAACAGTTCTAGTCCTGGTTTTCGTAATCATGACACTGTAGACATTTTGGCCCATTTAATTCTTTATTGTAAGGGGGTGTTCTTGGCATTAGGATGTTTAAGAGCATCTCTGACTTCATCTATTGGATGTCAGAAGCACTCTCAGTTATGACAATCAAAAATGTCCTCGAATGTTGGCAAATGTCCCCTAGGAAGCAAAATTGATAATGGTTGAGAACTGACTGTTCTAATCTCAATGACTTGGTTCCTATACATTTTTACAAAAGATGATGCAGAAAATGTTAAATAATTCCATTATATTGCATGCTAAAATAACAAACCCAACAACTGGTATTATTTTTAAAAATGTTAATAAGTCTTAGTTGGACACCAAAGCTGCAGGCTTAATACAGATCCATAAACCGGGAGAACATTCTTTTTTCTCTAAGAATGTTTAGTGTAGGTTGGAAAAAGCGTGAAAGGCTGTTAACGATTCTGAGTTTTCTATCAAGTTATTCCTCCTACTCAGTAATTTGACAGAAATCAGTTTCCTATTCTGTAACTAGAATGTGTCCTGACTTCCTCACACATTTATTGCTAGGATGACATGAAAACCAGTAAAAATTCACCAATAGCAGGTATTGTTTCAGTTAGGGAGTTTGGGATAAGGTAATTGTTTTCACAGTTGCAGAGACATATGTTAGTTTTGTAAAATTTTATGTAAGCATGTGTGAAGCTTTCTCCAGCAATCACAAGAGAATTTTTTTTTTTTTTTTTGTGCATAGACATTTGTGACCCATGCATACGCCAGTGGGAACAACCTAAAACCTGCAGAGGCCTTTGCTTCACTGTCTCTCTTTCATATCCTTGTCACACCACTATTCCTGCTCTCCACCGTGGTCAGATTTGCAGTCAAAGCCATCATAAGGTATGCACTAAAATGTTTGGAATTCTTTGTTGAATATAGGAACAATATGTGCTCCTGGTAGTAAATTTGAAAAGTTGTGAAAAATAACATTAAAATCACTACTCAGAGATAATCATTGTTAAAATGTTGGTATGGTATCTTTCAGTTCTTTATTTATTTCATATAAAAGTGATCATTTTAAAATTTGAAAAATGAACTTCTGTAATTTTTGGCTTCTTCTTTCCATTGTTGCTTTTATTATGTTCCCTTAGTTTTAGAATACTTGAGGTTTACTGGTTATTCCATAGTCCATTGTTTGTAAGTATTCCTTAATGATGATCTTTATTTTATTTTTTAAAATTTGTTCTTTTTAAATATACATGACTATGTATTATTATACTCTGCTAGAGTGTAATATTCTGACATATTATATGTACATGGAATATAAATTATTGGAATTAGGATCCATTTTGTGGTTATATATGAAGTGGAATTTTATTGGTGGTATGTTCATATATGAACATAGGACAGTTATGTCTGATTGGAAAGACAATGGAATGAGATGACGATCTTTTTAATAGATATTTAGAATGCTTCTGTTTTCTCCCTAACATATAGCATTGAGATAAACAACTTTGTTTGTCTTTGCACTTTTCCCTGATGGTTTTGGTTAGACTTATGGAAATGATGGTAGCAGTTCCCATAGTATGAACATCTTTAAGGTCTTTGCTGAACATGGCTATGTTGTTCCCACTGAGGAAGTGGTAGTAGGTCAAAAGGTGTGTGTGTATGTGTGTGTGTATGTGTGTGTGTGTGTGTGTGTGTGTGAGAGAGAGAGAGAGAGAGAGAATTTATTAATATGTTCATAATGTTTTCTTCTGAAGCCATGCCAATTTATGTTGTACTGGCAGTGATGGAAGAAAATATTCCTATCTACACTTCATATTCTGTTTTAATTTTAGTTAAATCAGGCAAAACAACAACAACAACAACAAAACAGGTTCATAGTCTGAAACAGAAAGATACGCAGAACTATTTGGTGTTTTGCTCATTTTAATATGCTTTTAGAGTGTTTACAACCAGTGTATTCTTTGTCTTACTTTTATCTTCCCATAATGCATAACTATGAATATGGATGTGATGTGATAATGCCCATTTCCTAACCATTTGAAAGCATGTTACCAAGCCACGTGTACTGTGTGTAGTGTAGCTACTATATTCTAGATTCTATTATAAGCAAGGAAGGCTTAAAGTGGTATTTTTACTCTTTGCTATACAATTTTTATAAACTTTATAAAATCTCAGCAGGTTATGTAAACAGTCATTATATTTATATCTGGCCTTTGAAAAACATACCTAAATGTTAGAAAACTGGAAAACTGAGGCCTTAAATATATGGAGTATGCTTTTTGCCATTGACAGCAATGTAGATCATCTCTCATAAGATTTTAAAAATGAGATCATTTTCCTGGTATCTATGTATTAGTGAGAAAACTAGTATTTAGTGTTCAAAATACCAGAATCTCCAGTTTTAGGCAATAGTTTACATTGACTTACCAGGGGTTTAATTCTAGATAGCATTTAAATGCATATAAATTATCCTATTATAAATTAAGCTCTGCTAGAATACAGTGGTTATCATAACATAGCTTCAATCCTGTTCTCTAAGTTGTGTCATTAATAACATTTCGGAAGCTGTTAGAGTTTAAAGCTCAGGCCCTCTGGCCTCATCTGCCCTCATTTTCCTTTCTTATTGTTCTGTCTTCTGAACCACTTGCATAGATCACTAGACGCACTGTGTAGCACCACTTCCAAATTAGGCAGTGCTCTGGAAGAGAAGCTACTTCAAACAATAAAATTGATAGATGGCCAGAGTCTGCTATTTTGGTCCTTATTTTCATTTTCTCCACTTAACTGCTATCCCTTTCATGGTTGCACTATTAATTGGAATTTGACTTTGCACTCTAAGTGGAGATAAAAAGCAGCTGATGACTTACAACAAAAAACTCTTCTGAAACCAGGAGGTTATCAAACATCAAAAGGACTCAAAGAGTTGATTTGAAAAAAAAAAAAAAGATAAAAGTAATCCAGGAGTGTTTCTCAAATCCACTGTATACAATTCTGCTGTAGTAAATCCTGGTACAGTTGTGGGTGGATAGTGTCCCTTGTGTATTTCTGCATAGCATTCTCCCTTCTGTACATCTCAGAGAAAAGGCATTTGCCAATTTGATAAAGACCAGTCTATGTTCAGGGCTCAGTTCCAGATTACCCAAGCCATAGGCCAAATAGACTCTGCTTATACAAACTTGCTTTTCTAAAATGACCTTCAGTGGTTGATTTACGGGTCCTACAGAGATGGCTGGTCAACAGAGGATGCCAATACTTTTTCCCACTGTGTGTTGGTTCTGGGAACCCAAATGAACATTTTCCCAGTGTTGATTGGGCTCAGCATTTTCCTCTGGGCCTGGGAACCCGTGATCAGTCTTTGATGCCAGTTGGCCCACAGTGAGTTGAAAGGCCTGTTTATAATCGGAGACTTTGGTCAGCTGATTTTGAAATCTCCTCTTCAGGACTGTGGAAGTCATAAGTTCTTTGATGCACTCTTAATATTTGGTGGGTTAGAATGGGCGAAGCATACTCCCAAACTTGTGTCATGCATGCATGTAAGAAACTTGGAACCTTTTTTGCCAGAGGAAAATTCCATGCCATGTGAAATTCTCTGCTCCCGGGAAATTTTATGTTTTCTTTTGAAAAAGTTTATAATATATTAAATGTATCAGAATATTACATACAGTAAATATATATTTAAATTTAAATAAATATTAAATAAATATTTATTATATACATATATCTGATAAAAGAAAGAGGCAAATATGCTTCAGGCTGTCTTCTTAAACCCACAGTATCCTGTGTTTGAGTTTTCTGGACATTTTATGGTACAGAGTTACAGTCTTTATTTGCAAAACAGACAGAATAAAAGCCACTATTATTTAAAGTTTTAAAACACTTGAACAAGAATGAGGTTTTGTTTATTGTTTTTTGTTTTCCATGATGCTGTCTTACTTCTCTATTTGTTTTATTTGTTAGGAAATAACTTATGTGTTGTGCTTTTCTGGAGGAGAATATGTTGTATCCCATAAAAGAAATTTTGAGTTTAAGTATCTGGTACTTGATGTATAATTCAATATCTATGTCCAGAGATATTATTTGCCAAGGAAAAAAAGTATAAAACAAATTCCTCACTTTGTTGGGAAATGACTTTGTGTCCTTTCTCTCATGTATCTCCCAAAGGAATTTATGCTTGGCTTGTCTCCTGCATTACCTTCAGTCAAATAAATTGTTACTGATATTTATCAGATAGCATACTTATGCTTTGGCTGGGTCTCTATATTTCATTATATAAAATTTCATAAATCCTATTGAAAAACATGCAACTGCCAGCAATGAAATCCATTATTTCTAATGAATAGACACTTGTCCAAAGTGCCCATGTTGTGTTTAAACTCCCAAAGTAAACTTTGAGAATTGAAAAAGTAACATGTAAGAATAAAAATCCTTAAATATTTTTGTGAATAATCTAAACAAGTGAGAAATTAGTAAAATACTGACGTATAGTGGCTATGGAGGCAGGATAGCAAATTGGCAATGAATGTACTTGCTTCTTTCCAATCACAACCATGGAATACTCTTTGTTCAATCACAAGTATATTGTTTAGTGTCTCTATAGTGTAGCTTCCTCTCTTATCAAATGAGAAGGATGATATCACCTGCTTATGGTGATTGAGAAAATTAAACTAGATAGTATATTAAAAAGTACCTAGTGCATTGCCTAAATATTTTAGATATTTTGCATACCTCCATTTATGCATTTACCACCACTGTGCTCATTTCTACTTCATGCCTCTGAGCATCTTCTATAGGTCAGCATTCATTTGTGAATGCTTTAGCTACATTGCTAGGCATTGGGAACTGCCAATGTACAACAAAAATGTACAGGGAGTGCACAGTTTGGTTGGAGAGACTAGGAAGGGAAAGTAATTCTGATACGTTGTGTTTTCTTATAAGCCTTACACAGAATGCAAAGAACCATGTGTGAGGACTCTTGTAGCTTACTGAGAAAGAAGGGAGACTCTCTGGTTAGTGAAGTTTTGAAGAAGATGGTAGCTCTTTCCCAGACTCCTAAAGAATACATAAGACATGACCAGTTGGAGGAAAAGGGGAAAGGTAATTTATCAGAAGGAGCCAAGACTGAGTAATTAGGTGAGAAATCTTGATATATTCAGAGGACTAAAAGTGGTTCTGTATAGCTGGAGAAAAGATTCTGATATGAGAAGGGAAGCAGTGATGAGCTTTTAGATGATGTTCAAGATGCTGAGAGACAAAGGGTGCCATTTGTTATTTTAAGAGAAGGACTGTTACATGATTAGATTTGCATTTTTAAAATATAACCTTGGCAGTGTGGTGAAAATTACTTCACCCTTGGTCAGGATTCATGCATTTTCCATAGTTGTTTTGTCTCTGTGATTCCTGAAAAGATCTCATATGAACAGGAAATGCTTTTTGTATTACCCATTTATTCATTCATCAGGCATTACTTGAGGAATTGTTATGTTATATTTTAGAATTGGGCTAAATTCTAAAAATGAAAATCTTTGCTCGTAAGGAGTTCACAGTCTAATGGGAGATATAGATGTGAAACCAACAACAACAAAATAGCAGCACAGGGACTTTTCAGCCAGCCCTCCTAGGGCAAGGGAAAGGAGAGGCTTAGAGAAGGGTTGGTATTGTTCATTGCAAATGGAGTTCCACCATGATATGTTACCAAGAGGAGAGAAAGTTCTCTCCACCCCCAATTAAGGTCAGGGATCATTGTTTCCTGATGTTCAGCAAGATTGGGGCTCATTTATTCCATAAAAGCATTAGTAAGATTTGTGTGTATACTCAAAAAGTGAACTAAAGAATTGAATCAACAAGTTTTACTGTCTGAATCGTTAGTTTATTTCTTCTTTGATTCATTGAACAAGCATTCATGGAGAAATGTGTGCCAAATGCCGCAAAAGATACAGTGGCACTTGAATTTGGCCTCCTCACTTCTCTTTCTGTGCAGGGGAATAGTGCAAGGTTGTTTACAGTCATGATTGACAAATCTGTGCTCCTTAAAACCAAATCTCTTCAAACCATTAGAACAGAATGACAACTAAAATCTATAAAAGTACAGAAGGAATTTCTGCCATTTAAGACAAATAAAATGCTATTTCAAAAGGCATTTCTAATGCTGAATCTTTCCAGTCTATATAGCCAGACTTTCCTAACAAAGACTCAAAGAGATTGTGCAAATCAAAGTTTTCCTTAATCATCTCTCTTAATTCCCTGAAAGCACAGTTTGGAAGCTAGTGATTAGACTGGCTCAATGGATGTTATCTATCTTTATATTTCTATGATATACAAAGTCAAGGCACTTGAAGATCATGGTTAGCAGACTGAATTAAACTTAATTTATTTTATTATCATGTCACAAAAGCAAACTTGGCAGACCTATCTGGAGGCAGTGAACTTGACTACAAGCTCAAGTGAAAATTTAAAAACCATAAATAAGTGAACCTTTTATTTTGAATATATATTTTCTAGTTTCCTATGAAAGCAACACTTCCCTGGTAGTTGATGCTGTGCCTACCAGTGAGTTTGTTCACTTTCAGTTAGCAAGCAGGCTGGAAAAGCCTTTCTTTTCCTTTGCAACTTCACAGGACTTAAAGTTCTTTTCTTTAGTATAATACTCACTTATAGGAGGATGTTTTCAAATCATGCTATTGTTTTTATTATTACTTATTTTTGTTCCTGATCCTATGATGTTGTTTGAGTAAATTACAGTGAAAAGGGTAAGTGAGTCTTATGCCTGGTTTAAGGAGACCACAGAAAAGAATGTTTGCAAAGTGTTTGCAAACTGTTTGCAAAATGTTTCTAGAACGGGGCCTTTCAAACTGTAAATGTACTTATGAAGCACCTCTGAATATTATTAAAATGCATATTTTGATTCACATGTTGGAGAGGGACATAAGATTCTGTTTCTAATAAGTTCCCTGGTGATGTTGTTTCTGCAGGTCCTTGGCCAATGCTTCGAGTAAAAAGACTGTAAAAGGCCCTCTCATTGCCAGGTTTAGAAAATATGTATAAAATAGTGCTTAAGCCGGATTCCTCAGTGGTCAGGGACCCTAAGTGATTTTTAAGTAGGTTACTTAACTGCTCTATGCTTCATTCCTCTCATGTGTAAAATTAGAATTATAAGAATATTTTCCTTATTGGTGGTATTATTTTTAATCACCCTATTCCACATTCCTTTTTGGCCCCACTAGTTTTGACAGAGAATATAATTACAAACAACAACAACAATAAAAAGAAAGAAAGAAGTTCTATTAAATTTAGGATGATCAGGGTTCTTGTTTTTCCTGAGATTTTTCTGATATTGGCATTGAAAGTCTTGTCCTAAGAATCACTCAGTCCTGGGCAATTTAGAACATTTGGTCAATCTAGCTGAATTTCCAGATGGTCTTGAGAAATGATTTAGAGAGCCCGTTCACCAAGGTACTGAGTGAGAGGAAGGTTTGTTTGTTTAGGTATTTTTGTTGGTGGGAGTTTTACTGCTTATCCTTGTTGGGTTTGTTTGCTTTTTGCAGTGTTCAAAAGCTGAATGAGTTTCTCTTGAGTGATGAGATTGGTGACGACAGCTGGCGGACCGGGGAAAGTTCTTTGCCTTTTGAGTCCTGTAAGAAACATACCACAGTGGTAAGTGCTTTTCTCGCTGCAGAAGCTGTGAATGTTCTTTACAGAATGGATGGTTTGATGGGGATGCAATTAGAAAAGTTGTAAGCTTTATTTTTCATCTCTATGAAGAAAAAATTCTACCTGCTTCTACATTAAAAAAAATACCTCCCAAGTATAAAATCAATAAACAAGTGTATAAGGCTATAAAGCTTGTCTTTATATATCATGAAATAATTATCCCAAGAGGGACAACCCGTGTTCAACTCAAAAGGATTAAGAGGGTGTTTGATCCAAGCTTTATATAAAAACAATATAAAATAAGCCTATACCATATTCTTATTTCTTTTAGTTATATTATACTTTTTAATTTAAAATATGCTTTCTGATCCATTATGTAGTTTTATCTACTTAATATATTACAATACATTGCTACTTTTGTCTGCACATATTGATTTGCACAGTTGTGTAGCTTGAACAAAGTCATAAGATTAACAAGGGATGGGGTCAGAAATAAAACCTGAATCTATGACTTGTAGACTGGTTAGTTCATTCATCCTTGACACATACATTTACTCAGTTTTACATAAAGTCTGTAAACCCTCAATATTAATTTGACATGTATTACATGTAATACAAATAAACCATTTATTATGTATTTGTCTGGTTTTACAGACTTATTGGCTTCCCTGTGCTTTGTGCCAGGACCTAAAGATGTGGCTATTAACAAGGCACCTGAGAGGCACCTGAGATCTTTACTTTCCCAGAGTTTGCTGTCTTAGAGTCAAATCACAAGTTTAAAACATTATATAAATGCACTGTGTGAAGAAAATAAAAGAACATTACACGAATGGGATACTCAAAACTGGGTGGTCATTTATAAAAGGGCTTCTCTGAAGAGCCATCATTTGAGTTGAGACCTGTGAGACCTGTAGGTACCTGTCCTACAACGGGATATTGATAAACAAAAGAACAGGCATGTACAAAGATCTTGAGGTGGGAATTATTTCGACTTATTTTCAGGAGACAAAGATACACTATGATTGGAACCTCATGAAGAAGAGAAAGTGAGACAAAGTAATAACAATGACTGAGTTCTGTAGACTAGAAGAGTGTGGAGTTTAGTAGCATGCAAAAAGAAGTCATTGGCAAGGTTTAAA